TTCGGTCCCTTGATTAATGAGGATTAATCGAGTATTTATAGCCTTGGGAAGCGTGCAACTCTCTAGGTTTAAGGTAAACCTAGGGCCGATCGGGCTTCTAGACTGAAATGGGCCTTGATGGCCGGTTGTCCCATTTGGCATGGGTGGACACGTGGCGTGTCTTAAGTGGTCCGTGGAGGACGCGTGGCGGAACCTGGTTGGTCCACTTGTCAAACGGCGCTTGGTGGATAAAAATCCCCTAATCAAGTATATTATACGGGTTACTTGTTTTTTAGTTATTATACATTTATTATAGGGGTTACTTGTAATCCTAGTTTATTATATATACTGGTTACTTGTACTCCTAGTGTATTATAGAGGTTACTTATTTTATGTTATTAACATTTATTATAGGGGTTACTTGAAATCCTTGTTTATTATATATACTGCTTACTTGTAATCCTAGTGTATTATAGGGGGATTAGTTGTTTTTTGTTATTACACATTTATTATAGGGGTTACTTGTAATCCTAGTGTATTATATGGGTTTATCATGGTCTTATAGGTGTTACATGTAACCACACTATATTATAGTGATTACTTGTTAAAGTAGAGTTACTTGTAAACCCTATTTTATTTCTGGGTTACTTATTCTTTCATATTTTTTACTTATTACTTCCTCCGTTTTCTTTTACTTGCAACACACCTTTTAGGCACGCAGTTTTAGGAGATGATTAGTGAGGATAAACGAGCGATTTTATCAATATAATTTTTACACGAAGATTAGAATAGGGTTAAGTATCATTTGTAAAAATTATAATGAATAATTTATGCGTTTACATTACATAAACCCGACCTCAAAACACGTGCCACAAGGCTGTGTTGCAAGTAAAAAGAAACGGAGGAAGTATATGATAAACACAATGTAGATTTTACCTTGTATGTCGTTGTTGACATCAATTTCTTCAATTTGTTTGTATCTGTTTTCATCTTCCAGATCCAATACCTGATTATTGGTTTGGATTTCGAGATTCATCAATGAATCCTCAATTTGATCCATCTCTATTGATTCCTGCGAATCAGGTAATTGTTCGAATTCTTCTTCCATTGTTATTCTTCAATTTTTGGAATAATAATGGATCTAGTTTTCAGCTCGATTTTTCTTCGTTTTTATCGATTTTTCTGGAAAATTGAGTTCGCCGCAATAAATGTTTTTTTTCTGGGTTTTAGGTTTTAGGGATTTGTGCGCGTCTTTCTTATAGTCATTTAGTATGTTTAGCGCGTGTTGTTCAATCCCGTTATGCGTGATTGGATTCCGTTATTTCGCTGACATGGCAGCAGGCCGCACCATGTGGCCTGCTGCACCAAAAAGGCGCCGTTAATTTAATTATAAAATTTGACAACTTTAATTTAATTAATTTTTTTTTCTTATAAATAGAGAGACAAAGGAAAGAGAGAGAAATGGGGGGAAGAGACGACAGACGAGGAGAGCACGTATAAGTTGACAATGACAATGTATAAAGACTAAAAACGCGATTTCTGATTTCAGATTATTTGCCCACCTCAATTTTATTAATCTTTTTTCTTTGAATAAATCTTCAACCTTTTATATCTCCTCTTAACATTTTCTCCATTAATATACCTTCTTCCTTTTTCTCTCTCCTCCATTTCCTCTCTTTCTCACTTTTTCGCCAAAAAGATTTCATCTTTTTTCTGGGTTTTCGTTGAATTTAATTGGGGTTTGGGTGATTTTTTAGATTAGGGTCAGAATTAATTTTAATTTTAGGGGAAAAATGATGATGACAATGGAGGGAACAATGGATGAAAATGTATTAGATGATATAATTAGGAGATTATTAGATGGAAAAGGAGGAAAACAGGTGCAATTATCTGAAGGTGAGATCCGCCAACTTTGTGTCAACGCTCGTAATATCTTTCTATCTCAGCCTAATCTTCTTCAACTTCGTGCCCCAATTAGGATCTGCGGTAACTTTTCTTTCCTAATTCATAATTAATTGCAGTTTCTAATGTAGTAATTTCGAGATTTTTTTTTGTTTTTTTTTTTTTTTTTTTTGGTATGTTGTTTAATATATCTGAAATGGGATTTGATCAATTTGATTGGATTAATTGGGGTTGTCATGGAAGGGTAATGATGTACACGGGATTTGATATCGAGTCTAAGTACCAACCTAAACCTTGTAAGTGAATGGACTTAAATATTTGAATATCTTTGTGGAATCATTTTGGGTTTTTTTGATGAATTGGCTTATGGAATAATGGATTTTCTTGGGATTTTTCTCTTTCTTTTAATTGGTGCAAGTATTTTATTTTGTAGCAAGGGAAAACATTGAGATTCTTGTAACAATTTTTACAGAAAATGAATAAACTACTTCGTATAATTTTAGTTATGAATTGGTAATATAGTTGTGTTTTGTGTTTTGTTAATCCTATGTGCAATGGTACAGGAAAATGTGTATGATGAGAATATGACTCAAGTAGTATGGTCATTGAAACCGGTTTAACAGTCGTTTATAGTGGAAAATTGCGACTTTTGTGCAATATTGAATGACTTCTAAGGGAGAAGATGACTTTAAACATCGGTATTGTGAGGGTGACTAATCGATAATTTATTCAAGCTTGCATGACTGTAATGGTTAATTGACATATGCTCGTTCAATCAAATGACACAACCATTGAAAACCCGGATATTCATAGCATATGCTTATTTTCTCATATTTGCCACTAGTATCACTAACATAAAGACTACCTTGCAGGTGATATTCATGGACAATATCAGGATCTCCTAAGGCTTTTTGAATATGGGGGTTATCCCCCAGCTGCGAATTACCTCTTCCTTGGAGATTATGTAGATCGCGGCAAGCAAAGCTTAGAGACAATTTGTTTGCTTCTAGCATACAAAATAAGATATCCTGATAAGATTTACCTTTTACGAGGAAACCATGAAGATGCAAAAATTAATCGTATTTATGGATTTTATGATGAGTGCAAAAGAAGATTTAATGTTCGTCTATGGAAGATTTTCACAGACTGCTTCAATTGTTTGCCGGTTGCTGCACTTATTGACGAAAAGATTCTTTGCATGCACGGTGGCCTGTCTCCAGATCTACAGAATTTGAAACAAATAGACGAAATTCAGAGACCAATAGAGATACCAGATAATGGTCTCCTCTGTGACCTTCTCTGGGCTGATCCAGATGCTAGGAATGAAGGCTGGACAGACAGTGACAGAGGTGTTTCATGTACATTTGGGTCTGATGTGGTTGCTGAGTTTTTAGATAAGAATGATCTTGATCTGATATGCCGCGGTCATCAGGTAGAAGAAACTCTACTTTTAGAATGTTTTATTCACATATTTTAAAGTCATCATACCATGTTAAGAGTTGCAGTTAATCTAGTTCTCATATTCCAGATATAGTTCTTTGTTTTTTCTTGGTGATAGAAGTATATCAGCGTAGGCTGTCATTAACTCATAACTTTTACTTCATCTCTTCTTTTTTTTGTCAAGCATAAAGCAATTCATCACATGCAGTGAAAAGAATGAAAACTATTATTTGCATATTTGTTACATCGGGTAGCAATCCTTGACCAAGATTGTCCCTTCACTTATTAAACTGCAGGTTGTAGAAGATGGATATGAATTCTTTGCCAAGCGAAGATTAGTGACTATATTCTCAGCTCCTAATTATGGCGGAGAGTTTGACAATGCTGGAGCCCTTTTAAGTGTTGATGAATCCCTAGTATGTTCTTTTGAGATACTGAAGCCACGCGACCAAGGAAGTAGTTCCAATGTTCAACTTAAGAAGGTAATTTTCAGAGCTTGTCATCTAGTCATTACGTATGGTTAGGAGTAATAATTTAAATTGACTTGTATGTTTTGTAAGGAAAGTCTGATGGAACTTTATTCCCAAGAACTCAAGTATGTGTTTACTTTTCCATTACCCACTCGTTATCATTACGAGTGGTAATGATTCCTTACAAACACACATACTTAGAGGTGGAGAAATGTTCACTTGAACGTTTTCGTGGGACTTTCCTTGCAAAACTACATATACGTTCTCCATATTAAAATGGAGCTTGCCATTTTAAGCTATCCAAGAGGCTTGACCTGTTTTATCTTATTTTGCTTGAACAGGTTCCTAAAGCCGGAGGAATCTAATGCAAAATGTGTAAATGTAAATGAAGATCGCACAGTTGAAACTTTCAAGTATCCTCCTGAGTTCAGATCTCTCGTAGTGATATGGTCCGTGAGAGAGTGAAAATCATCATCGTCTAAGTTTGAAAATTCACAAACTCATGGCATGCCTTGCGGTAACTGGAATGAGAAGTTCATCTGACAAAACCTGTAAATCAAACACCATCCATCATTCTTTTAGGCTATACCCTTCTCTGTTTTCTTGTAGGTGTTGGTGCATTTTGTAGGCAGATAATGAAGTTTTTTAGGTTATCCTTTGTCTTTTAGACCGTTTTGTGTATCAAGTTACATCGCATGATTTGTTCTCGAAGTCTGACTAATTAAGATTATAAACATAGTTTGTATCAATTGTGTTAGTGTGAAATATTGTATTTCTTCTAATGAAGAGCAATATCAAAACAAAGGGACCAAGAAATTGAAGGTTGCATATTTTGACGTTGGCCAACTTTGACGACAGCCATCAAGTGACTTGTAGGGCATGATCAACCAGGTTTGATATCTTATATTTCAACCAACTTTTCTAAGTTGGTGAGATTATTAGATCCAGGAAATACTACATAAAAAATAAAAGCAAACTACAAATTATTGAGTATGATTGAAAACGATAGTCCAGTCATAGGCCTAATATTAAATGCATCTGGAGGCACGTCCAATGAAGTTATTAATTTATATCTTCACTATTTGATCCTGAACGAGCTTTTAATTATAATGGTGCTCCCACAGGAGCACACGGTCCGTTTGGTGCTTGTCAAGGGAGAATACGGTTTATATCTCCCGGTGGAAGGCATAAGTATTGCTCTATAGAGGGTATCAAGATACATTGCATTCTATTAAGAATCGTAGGGCAGTTCGAACAATGCAAAGTGTAATAATGAGTATCTAAAAATGTTCCAAAATTTCTTCATATGATTAATTCTATGTTGAGAACCACACAAGCCAAAAGAGAATGGAAGAAAACCGAGGATTACAAGAATGACTGCAAATCAACAATACTATGTTACAAAGGGGGGGAAATGGGGCCAGAAATCTGGGAGGGTTAAATCTATCTTACAGCAGTCTTCCTACTACCCTGGGTGGTTGATGGTCTTTGGCCTGCTCTGGATTCCAAGTGCCTAATCCTAGCAGCACGAATAATTGCAGCATGCTTCTGCTGTTGGCTGTAGCTCTTCCTCTTACTGCATTGCTTGCATAATGCCAAAATGTAAGGCGAAAAGTATATCGGAGAATTAGCAGATAAAACAGTAAAGCTAGCACAAATACCAATCATTCTTTATTACAAAGATAGCTGCATTAAAACACCTTCAATATCAAATAATGGTTGCTATGTTACAGGAGCATTGGCATTAACACTTCCATAAAAGTTTGTAGGACTTGCGGCTTTGTTCCACCTTTGGATATTATTAGTTTCAAGGAACAAGACAGATGTGCTCAAGCAACTTCAGATAAGGGCTAATAATTTTATTTCATTTCAAAAAAGTTCAGAAAAGCTTGAGTGTAAATTTTGTTCATTTCATAGAAGTGAGAAAATTTTAGACAAGGGTTATCAAGTAAAAGAACGAGGCCTTTAGTGTTAAAAAGAGTGAACAAAGTCAAATAAGTATAAATGATAAAACGAAATAAGTGTCTGCTTCTTTTGTGTTTGGAAATAAGACTGCTTAACAGACGAGCAATCCATACATTTCTTTTATTTCAACATCCTGATGCACAAGTTTCTTGCTGATAATAAAGCATGCCAGTTTCTGACATCAGTATAAGAGTAACACAGCTTGCCAAGACTGTAACATAATGTGCTATTTCAAGAGTTTGAGCTGATAACATGCATCATTTCTTTTCTAGCCTAAACCCCAACTCATCCATTAATATACAAGGCCAGAACATTTCAAACAGATAGGTTTCTGTTTGTTTTCTTGTCAATTTTATAATCGGAACATTAGTAGCAAAGGTAAAATGATTCTTCCCAATCACCAGAAGCAAGAATGTGTCACATCTTTGTAAATAGGCAGGTGCCAGGATACAGGACATAGCAGGAATGGCTTAAATAAGTATGTAACTGTACAACTGCTAGATTTATTTTGATCTCATCGGGAAACAAAGGTAGTAGTCTTATCTGAAGACCATACCAACCAAACAATGCAGGCTTAGTGAAGAAAGTCCTAAATCCTAATTGCTATAAGGAAATCCTCATTGTAAACACAAATAATGTGTTAAAAAACTTTTTATAAAACAGCGTATCAGATGTTTTAGCACACAAGACACACACGCAAAGATACACACACATCAACCTTTAGCATCACCAGTTAATGACTAATTTCAAGAATAGGTCCAATTCTGTCAAGAGAATGTAAATGGTCTTAGGATGTAATGCACAAGAAAGCATCTAATCTCAAGATGACCTAACCCCAACAAAGAAAATAAGAGATCAAATTACACATCAGAAAATAGAAAGATTAAATTAATAAAGTTAGGCAGGTAGGAGTTACTAATTGAAAAAGACTGACCTCATAAAAAAGAGTCCAGCAGTAAGCACCAACCCTCCCACTGCCCAGGAAACACGTTCCGCGAATGGCAGTTCTTTCATCCACTGCTGGAAATCTTCAAACAATCCATTGTGCCCATCTTTCTGAAAGTTGCTGGTTTGTGGCTTCTTCCACGACTCTGCAATGGAGTCTAGACTTGCTTTCCCACCATAGCAAGATGTTTCCTCAACAGTAAGGCCTGAATCACTCAATGGTGTGACAGCAAAACCTGCTGCACGGCAAAGTTCTGTACCATTAGAGATCCACTCAGAGGCCCTACCACATACAAAGTCTCCTACTCCACAGGGTGCAAGAACCTGGAACAAAATGACTGATCAGAAAACTCCAGAAAAACATATTGTATGAATTAATATCATGCACAATGAATCTGTCAGCATATACAATGTAATACACATAAACTAGTCACATGTTTAACCAATTGAAAGAAATAGGTCTTAACCTATTACATATAAAAGGAAAAACTACTTTAAAGTTTTTCACGCTATGACTACTTATAACTATTGTTCCTCTCCAAAATCAATCAAGGTAAAGGAACAAACCTGTGTTATAGCATCCATAGAGAGATATGCATCAGAACAAGCCTGGAACAGTTTTTCACAAAAAGAGGCACATATCAAAGGAGGACCTGGCTTAACACCAACATCTGGATCACAAAGAGAGCACTCCAGCATCTCCCATAAGTGCAAGCACTCTTGGTTTGCTTCCCCTGTTGTTGCCAACTTCCGTATAGAGATAAAAGCAGAATGTGTGTGTGTCGCATCACAGCAGGTGTTTCTTCGAAACATTCTGCACAGTGTTAAATCTCTAAAGCTTCTAGGAGGTTTCCCTTCTGATGAGAATGGGCGGAAACGACCTCCAGGAGACACACAGACCCCATTTGATTTTTCTACATTAGTAACTAAAAATCAATTAGTACTAAGCCACAGGAGGGTGTAAGAAAATTCAATAAAAAGTGTTGCAACTAAAAGTACAATGCATTATGCCTTTACTTATAATCTTGCCTGAATAACATAATTTATCACCCAAATTTCAAACAAGACGTTCTATTCACATAGCTGTATAAGACATGACTTAAGTTGTGGCTATTTTGAATGAAACAGAAACTTTTTTCCTTCTTAGGAAGAAGACAAACAAAGCTTGTATCCCTTAACAGAGATCTCTTAAACTTGATGGTCAAGGATTACTAAAAAATATTATAGCTTACTATTTGATACAGCTTATCCTAAAGCACATTGATTCATCCTAAAGCACATTGATTCATCTTCTTAAAAAGTTAGGCACCACAGCAATCTACAGAAAATTTAATTTACACCTGCTTGAGATCCATCCAATATACAAATTAGCTTCAAACATGTCAAACTCCATCATGAATTCAACCCCAGCCCTACATAAGTTCTAAGTTACACCTGCTTGAGATCCATCCAAAATACAAATTAGCTTCAAACATGTCAAACTCCATCATGATTTCAATTCCAGCCCTACATAAGTTCACAGTGCTAGCCTTATAAAGTCCCAAGCAAACTTCTAATATGATTTTTATGCATCCATTAAACCAATATAGACAGTCTTTTTTTTTGGTAGAATATATAGACAGTCTTTACTAACTTATTTTCCAGATCTGTTGTCTATATACTGAAACAGTAAAACCTAAATGAGCCGGAAGTTCTTAATTCCCATGTCTTGCAACTCACGAGTTTGTCGAACCTTATGTTCTTTTGTGAAAAGGATGTGAGTTAAATTAAATTGGCAAATGCTCTGCACCTGCACAACTGCAATAAAAAAACTCTCGGCTTTTTTTCAACCTTTGCAGTGTCTGAGGCTTCTTTAATCTAGCTGAGAACTAGTACAATCAACAATGCATATGAAGTTGGATACCTTTCACCATCAACCAGCACGAATACCACTTCCTAGTCTATATGTTATTCGATTTGTAGAGATGCATGACAGGGTATCAGAATAACTCTAAATAACTTAACAGTATATGGTTCCTTGCCAAGGGAAGACAGTTCAAAGTGAGTCACAAGATTCCTACAGTGTATGAAACTATAAACTTATCATAAATTTCCCAAAGTTAGGTACATACTCCCTCCGTCCCTTTATGTTTGCCCTGGTTTCCCTTTTGGTTTGCTGCATGATACTTTAGGTATGTTGTTTCCACTTATTTCTCCATTGTACTCAAGTCCATATCAAATAATGTAGGAAAAGAACAAAACCACTACCCCACTTGTACAGCATTGCCCAACCCTTACAAAAGTGAAATATTTGCTATGAGGCAGACATAGAAGGATGAAAAAAGTACATTGATCCAGGGCATAGCTAGCTACTCTGAGACTACAATTATATAGATATTGATCCAAGTTAGCCAAGTAGAGAGTGAGGCTTCACCTCAATATTTATTAATCATAAATGAAGTACTACAGTAGCTTCTACATGCTCGAGGCTATCTGCAGCAGCTTATGTTTGAATCACGAGTTAGTGAATACTCCATTGATGTTCAGCAATAGTAGGATAATCCAATCCCAAGCCCCCAATTAAGGTTCTATTCTTACCAATTAGACAATTTAGGAGTAGCTAACTAACTAGGTTCATAGGGGTTTTCAATACCATTGACATACTGCCAAACAATCAAATACATGAGTAAAGTAACCTCCTCAACACCCCCCAGCGCACACACATATCGAAAAGTGAGGAGAGCAAGGCGCATTATTATAGAAGGTGGGTTACAATATACTTTCTAATCATTAGTTCAGACTAGAGATCACCAATAAACTTGACAAGTGATAATTTCTCAGAGACCATAAGCTGCCAGATTTTATCTACTTGGAACTAGAAAAATACTAAGCTTTTTATTCCCTCCCAGTCAACATTTTGGAATTGAATCCAACTCAGGATTTCTAGAATAAGAGAGATTATTGACATTGTGGTTCCTCAACATAATACCAATGCCTCTAAAAAACAAGCTCCTCAACAAGCTGATACGTAGCCTTATTTTTGGCAGTCGGCATCGTGATCACAACAACAATAACATAATCCCAATGCCTTAAACGAAACCTCCTCCTTAGACCGTAAATTTAGCCAATGTTTTAATTGACCCTCTGAATTCAAATAACCTATTCCCACATCCAATAAACTGCATAATGGGAAACAAAACTACTTCTTAGATCCAATATGTAGGCTTATATTTGGCAACTGGCAATGTGGTTACAAGTTTACAACAGCAATTGCATAATCCCAATGCCTTGAAAGAACGTGTTCCCTAGGCCGTATACAAACCTTACTTTTGCAACAATCAAGACTCTACGCCTACATCCAATAAGCTATTACAGGGGGAAAATACTACTTGAATCCAACAACAGCTGTAATTGTTTAGCCATATTGATATTGAGGATGGCAATGATCATAATATAACCCGAATTCAATGCGATTCGTAACCAAATGGATCCCTAACAAGTTGCAACATCTACATTTAGCAAAAATCAATCTAATGCTTTGAATTCGACAATAGAAAATAATCTAATCCCAAACCCCACAATTATTTCGGACATTTATGATATTCATCGGCTGTCAACAAATTATACAATAACAAATCCATAATTTCTTCTATAATTTATCACTAACACATCAAGAACAATACATAGACTGATGAAAGTGTTCGATTTTATACAACAGAACAACAAAACCAAATAAATTACTAAAACATATGATCAATTTGTTTGAAAATGTAAGTATTTTACCTAAATTAAAAGTACCATGGTGATTAATTAAGCTAATTTCAATAATATTGACCAAAATGAATAGCACCCATCAAATTAATAACCCATTAAATGGAAAGAGAGATAGAAAGTACCAGAGAGAGATTGAAGAAGAAGATTGGAGAGAAGAAGCAATAATAAAACAAAGAAGTGATCTTGTTTCATCTTTTATTCTTCGAGGGGAATAATCAATCGTCAATTTTAGGGAGACATGTTTAGGTGTTCAGTATTCCAGTAGACTTTTCTTGCCAATTTGGGGGGTTTTGATTGAAGGGCTTTTCTGAGAAGTGTAGAAGAACAGGAGAGGGAATTCTATGCCAAATCTTTGTTCGATTGGTCTATTGTGGAAGGTGTAACGTCTAAAGACGGGTATGTGAAATTGGAGTCTTTTAACACATACTACCTCCGTTTACTATTATTTGCAACAAAGGGGAATTATTTGTGATATATTTCGTATAAAATAATTATTTGTTGCAAATATTAGTATACTACGTCATAGTTAACAGATGTAATATTTAATATTTCACTGATTTCAGATTAGATCGGAAAAAATAAGTTATGTCATACTTAATTATTTTATGTGTCATTTTTTAATATGAAATAATAAGTATTATAATTTTATAACAGATGTATTATAATTTTATAATGAAAAAAATTATAAAAGTTATTTATTAATAAAATAAACATTATTACGAATAAGGTCAAATTTAGTCAAATCAAACAATCTAATTAAATCAGACATAGTATGTTTTTATAAAATAAAAAAAATCATATCAAATCTAATAAGCAAAAATAAGGTAAACTAAACCGATTCTTATCCTTATTTTTGTTTAAACTCATCCCATTTTATTTGATTTTATTTAAGAATTAGAAATGTGGAGTGAAGATTAACACACACACAAAAAAAAAAAAAAAAAAAAAAAAAAAAAAAAAAAAAATCGTCTTGTGTGTGGTTGGCCACACCATGTAGGCATGTAGCCACTTGAAAAAGAACAAAGTAATCCCTGAGTAACCCCTATAATATTGATCGAGTAACTCTTAAGGGTCTATTCTGATTTACTGAACTGAGTTGAGCTGAACTGAATTGAATTGAATATTTAAACTGATTGGAGCTTAACTGAAGAGAACAAACCCTAAGTAATCCCTATAACACTGACGAAGTAACCTCTGTTAACTGAATGGGAAACCCCTATAACACTAACAAAGCAACTCTCATGATAGATGGCCACATCGTGTGGTCAGCCACATATAAGACTTTGTGCAAAAAAAAATTACACGTATATGGTTAGTTACACGATGTGACAATTTCAAATACTCCCTCCGTTTTTAAATATTTGCTCCACTTTTCATTTGCGTCCGTTTTTAAATACTTGCTCCATTTCCTTATTTGGAAAGCTTTTACAATATTTAATTTATTTTTCTTACCTAGTGGATCCAATATATATTTTCTCTCTCTCCCAATTCTCTCTACTACTTTGAGTATAATTTTTTATTCTTTCACTAACCCCACTACCGCCATATTTTATTACTTTCTCCAATTTTTCCTAAAACTCCGCGCATGGAGAAATGGAGCAAGTATTTAAAAACGGAGGGAGTATAAGCTAATTATTACAGTTTATAATAGGGATTACGGCTCATGGTCATTGGCAAATGGAGTAACTTTAACTTATGTGGATTAAATATAGCATAAGAAAATAGAGTGAATTGAATCAAGTGGAAAGTAAGTAAATAAAAGTACTAGAAGGTTAGAAATTGCTTCATGTAGTGAGTTTAGAACCAATTTAACAAACGGAGTATTAAGATTTATTTTATGTCGAGAGAGTCACAAAAGACAATGATGTTATGTAAACATAATTTGATCCCATTGTACTACCCCAAAGGCTTTAGCCAACCATAGTTGTAAATCTAGAATAACGAAGATAATTGGGTAAATGAAAGAGAATTTTTTAACGTGGTTTAGGAATCTAAGAAAACAAAGTTAACAACAAGACATTAGGAAAGTAAGGCAAGGTTTTGACATTGGTCTTTTTGACAAACCTCAAACAGAAGAAGCATGAGTGATGCGTATAATTGGCAGCTTAAGAGGGCATCATCAGAATTATGTCAATAGAAACATGAAATTATCAGAATAATTCTGAAATATGGAGTAGTAATTAATTTGCTCATTGTTTTTCTTCACCGAATTTCTTCATAACAATGTACCTAACTTTTCAAGCAACCAAACGACAAGCTATATACATGGGTTAGTTTGGCTTTTGGAGAAGGGGTAACTGGTAGCATTTGTAGCTTATTTGACAACAAAAGATAGTCTATAGCTTGATTGCAATCTGATAAATATACTTATACACCTAGAATTAAGTAACAATGTCAAAATTTCAATATAGAGCTTGTATGTTAGCTATATGTAGCTAAATTTTGTTGAATATTGGTATTTGTCTTCAAAATATTAGAACATATTTCGTTTTATCTTCCTTGGTCAAGAGAAGGCCATTTTTAAGCGCAACTTGGATGGGCAATGATGGAGTCTAAATGACCGATATTAAGGACCTTGGCAATTGCCAAATCACCTTTAGAAGATTCATCAAAGTTATAAGCTTTAACAAAAGTTAAAAACCTTGAGGACTAGAAAACCAAGCATCAAAGAAGGTTTTGAAAAAGGGTCTCACATTGTTACATAAGAGACTAAACTGAATAGAGTATAATTCAATACGAAAGAGTAATTCATTATTAATTAATTAAAAGCCTTTGATTAAATTTTTTTAATGACCACATAGTTTTCAATTAATACATCTTGTTTCATAACGAGCTCTAACCAATTATTTACATTAGAAGATCAAATTCTATTTGTAATTATTTCACTATATTCATTCTCCAGGCTTATTATAACTACTTAACAAACTCGACGACAAGTCGATAATAACCTAATCTACAACACGAATATGTTTGCATTTAGACAAGAAATGGAAGACGAATGACACTACTATCATATTCATATGTATGTCTACATCAAAGCTTAGGATGATGTCCAAAAATGCAGTAATCCATAATTTTTAATTATAAACAATAATGTTAATTAGACTACCTTATTATGTTATGGCCTATGAGATGGATCTTGCAACAAAAATGTGACATCTGACCTAACTCACTATGAAGTACAGACCATCTACCCTAAAGAAAAACACTCCTTAATTAGAACCCTTTTCTTACTAATCATATAATTTCGCGATGTTAATTCATTCGGCAAATCACAAATGACTTGCAATGTCGTTTTAGATCTACGTGTAAATAATATTCCTGTGTAGATTAGTTGTACTACCTCCGGTTTTTATTACTCGCAATAAATGAATATTTTATGTCTCACAAATAATATTTCTTTGCTGCGAGTAATAAGAACAGAAGGTACTATTATTTCTAAGTGAAATTACACTATGTCAATGTGAATTGATTCGAGCAGGAGAATATTGCACGAATTTGCGACAAGACAAAGGCGTTACAAAAACGAAACTCAGCTGATCATTTATCATTCAGAAGAGCAAACATTACAAAAGGAAGAGCAGAGGTAGACTGCAAAGCAAAGCAGATCGAAAACGTCGTGGTTACTACATGAACACCATATATAATCACGACTCATACTACAAACTACTTAACGACATTGCATATTTTACAAGTAGAGTAAACACTAATATATTTCACATGAAAGCTTAGAAGAAACTCTAAGAACAAAAAGTCCATACACCAAATATTTACATACCACAAGCAAGCTGCTAGTCACAGTTTACAAGTGATACTTATATGATACATGGACACAAGGCGGCTGGTATTAGTGAAGCCTCAACGACACCGTTAGCAAAGCAGGGTCTGGTGGGAGATTAGTCGAACCTCGTTACTTTGAACTTAGATATCAGACATCTTAAGAAGAAGGAGCGCTTCCGCAGGTTCTGTCCTCGTTCGTTGCCTTCTCATTCGAGTCTGACGTAGATCTCCTCCGAAACCTGAACGCTCCTGATCTGTTTCCTAACCAAGCAATTAAGATTGCCAATATGTTAGCTAACTAGGTCATTATCAATCAAAGTATGAAGATATTAAAATTACTTGAAAAAGAATGCTACATTGCTATATGTAGTAGCTTAACTAGAAAAGTGTATCACATTGCTTGCCATAACTTTGGAGTAACTTCTAACTACCTTGACAGTTAAATCCTAACATTATTTCCTCCAATTAATTGAAAAGAAGTCACCTAATTCGTTATATTGACACTTAAATCTACAACGTCATACGAATCTATAACTCTAACATATAACACCAGACGCCTTTTTGATTATATGAATAATCAAACACATGTACGTTACATTTGACTAGACACGATAAACAAAAATCGAAGTCTTAACTGAAAGATCGGCGACATTCTGCATTAAGATATAATGATCATACGTCTACATCATAAAATTAGGATTAACCAACATTAAGCAATTGATTTAGTATAAATTTATTATTAATAACGTTAATGACACTAATGCCGTATTGGAAAGGATCTTAGACTTTAAATGAAAGTAACACTTTACCTAACTTTCTTTGTACCATCATCTACCCCAAATAAAATAGAAAATTACAACCTTATTATTCATCAATATTTTAATTAATTGTGTAATATAAATCCAAAAATTGGGCGGAAATTTCAATGGGTAATAGTCATAATACAATAATCGGGCCTACTAACATAATAACAAAATAATAAAATTATGAAACAAAAAGAAAAATTACGTCAAGTCATAATCAGACCACCAAATATAAAAAATGACAAAAATACCCATTCCTAGACTTTTCCAGATCCCAACCTCACTCACACTAGTCACTCTTCCAACTTTACTGGAAAAAAAAAACATGCAAAGGGTACTTCAGTAAAAATAAACAAGTAAGAGAGTAAGAAAAGTCACCGGAAAACGGCGATGACGGCGGCGTAGATCCGGCGGGACTCGCCGGAGCTGATCCTGCTCCTTGAGTATACCCTGGTGGCTTCACTATCATTATTTTCCTCGAAACTTTCACTTCTTCCGGATTATCCGATCTTCCAACACTACTCCCTCCCTCCATCTCTGTTTTAATCAACAAAAACATTATTATTAGTATTGTTACGAGTATTATATTGTTATGTTATGTTAATATTGCTACTATTGTTATTGTTTTGGCGGAACTTGATTTGCAATAAAATATTACGATAATAGGTGAAATGACGGGTGTACCCTTGGAAGGGGTAGAGCGGGAGTTGAAAGTATTGAATTTGCGAAGACGTCCAAGGCCGGAATCCGGTTGAGGTCCGGCGAGAGTGTCATCCCAAAGCTTCTCCAAAAGACCCATTAAATTAAAAAAAAAAACGGCGTTTTTTTTTTTAAGGACGAAAAGAAACGTTATTACCAGACTTGCTTACGAAACGTTGATCCGAAACGGTGGCTCTGTTATTGGGGGAGAGAAATGAGAAGTGGGAAGAGTGGTATTTATAGAAGGAGGGAGAAGATCGTGGCCGTTGATTTAGGAGATGGTGACGTAAGAGAGAGAAATGAACAGATAAGGTTTGGAGGAGAGAGAAACGTGGCGACTGAGTGAGGGATTGGTGGGGTAGTCACGTGAGTCTGGGCCGGGTTTGTTGGAGTTGGAATGACTGATTTGCCCTTGGATTTGATTGGGTTGATTATTTTGGGTTGGGTTTTGTGGATAACTACGGTGGTTGCCACTGTCAGAAGTTTGAGATTTTTATGCAGTATTAATTTTGCCGCTTTTTGAATGATTTTTTTTTGGGATTTTGAAGTTTTTTTTTTGCAGGGGATTGGGAATATTACAATTTACAAGCATGGATTGTACAACACTTGTAATAGAAAATTCGAGAATCTCTGAATCTAATGTGCCAAAGTGCAAATTGTTTGGTAAAGAGAGTTCTCTCAAAAAAAAAAAAAAAAAAAAAAAAAAAAAAAAAAAAAAAAATTACTCCTATTTGATAATGAGTCGGGTGTGTTAATTCTATTCTCTAAAATTAGAAAATTAACCCTTAAATTAATTGGTTATGAAAATACTCGTACTAAAATATCAATTTTGTCTAGAAGTTACTACCCCCCTCTATATCTAAATTCCTAATTACTGATTTTAATGAAAATATTACCGTCAAAATAAGATCATTTGAAAACATAGGTTATATATTACCGTACCCTTTCACACATAAAAGAAGAGTTGTGTGCATGTGTATGTGTATGTATGTAGGTATATACACATACACATGCACACAACTCTTTTAAATGAAAAACCGTACCCTTTCACACATAAAAGAAGAGTTGTGTGCATGTGTATGTGTATGTATGTAGGTATATACGTGTAAACCTAAAAAGACATTTATCTTCCATTTTTGAAGGGAGACTTTTCACTCAATTTTTGACAGTGAAATATCCAACAAAATCCAATTACACTTATTTTAAAAAGGCCAAAATACCCCTAGATCGATAAGAGGCTTGATAAGGATACAGCTAGAATGAAAGAAAATACTACTTACGTATGAAATTGAGGGTGTGTTTTGATTGGGTATACACTGTAATTGATTGGTATTGCATGGTAATTTATGCTTCAATTATCCAATGACATAAAAATGCAAATTATTTTATCAATGTAGAATAGTTTATTATTCCATGTTAAGTAACTGAATTTTCGTAGGTGTACCTTCCATAGTCCATGCAATTTACAACTCCCATAAAAGGTCAATAAGAAAAGCACCAAATTAAGGTGGCATCTTTGACATGAATCACATGATCAATCAAGATTAGGGCAAATTATTGGTGATAATTGTTTACCATGAACTCTATTGATGATTTCATAGGCCGGATTAAATAATAATAATAATAATAATAATAATAATAATAAAATAAAATTACTAATGAATTAATATAGTAAACTGAATAGGCTAAAATATAATATTTTTTATTGTAATAATGGACTTCGTATATATATATATATATATATATATATATATATATATATATATATATATATATATATATATATATATATATATATATATATATATATATATATATATATAAGCCGATAAGTGATCAATCTATATATTTTTCACCTCTCACAAGCCACGCCAGTTCAAATTATTGTAACTAAATATGTGAAAACTTTACTATTTATGATGGTCTATTTCGAAGTTAACAGATACTTCATCCGTTCTTTATTACTTGACCCGCTTTGACTTTTACACTATTCACCACCCCTCATTTGATCGTCTTTTGTGAATAATATGTAAGGAAAAATATATTCATGTATGAATGTATGATCTTTTTGAATTCGTCTCAATAAGTACTATCATAATATATAACTTTTATAATTTTTACTTATAGAGAATTTAGGTTATTGATCGTTAAAGTTTTTCATGCATAGGCAAACGTGATAAAAGAAACAGGTCAAGTAAAAAAGAACAGAGGAAATAGTAATTAACTTTGTTGACAAAGCGAGCTAGTAACATTATGACTCTTTCAACACTTCTAACAAAAAGAAAGAAAAGACAGCCCCCATGGACAAACCTTTACAAAGAACATCGATCAATAGTTCAATTCAATCCTATTTATGAGTCCTTATCACCCACTTGTTTGTTGTCCCTTTATATGTATTAACATGTTCTTCCCATGATTTTGAAATCAATAATTGACCTCCACAATTTTAAACTAATCAAATCAATTATCAAATCGACACTACTAGTCTAATACTGTCCATGTCGTAATTAGGGGGGCGAACTAGGGAATTTACAAAAATAAAATTGTATGACTAGTACAAACTACAAAGTAAGATCATCAAATGTTCGAAATAAACCAATAAAATAATAAAGGGAAGATTGTGATTTATGAGATGTTATGAACTACTACTGTTGTAAAGGGACTAGATTATTAATTTTACGTGTCCCCTTATAAATATACTAATCTTACAAAATCTGCCCCATGTTTTAGATTCTCTTACACTTACTTAGCTGGCCTGCAAATCGTCTAGATTCATCTACCCCTTATAATAAATTACGTAAAATAAGCTCTTTAATTTAAAAATTAAAAGTATATTTTCTTGAGCAATTTTTTTTTTAATTTTTAAATGCAGTATATGATATACTTATTTTGTATTCATGCTAATGCATAAGATATATACGAATTATATGGTTAAAAAGTTTAGAACTAAGTTAGGTTTTGTTTTTTGTTTTTTGTATTTTTTTTTTTTTTTTTTGAGGGAAAGAACTAAGGTAGGTTTGTTTACCTTTAACCCAATTTAGGAGAATAAATGGAAATAAGGGTTGATAACTTCAAGAAAAATATGTTCTAATAAAAATTAATAAGGAATATTCAAGTTGAAATTTAAAATTAAACACAATTATAAAATCTATAGTATATTTGCATTAGTGAAAATCAAATGAAATGAACGTACTCAATTCGTATATGTTTTCATTGCCTCCATAATACTTTTAGGCATAGTGGGCTGCACTAATTAGGCAAGTAAACATTCACTGAGCATATTGGGCCAGATTAGTTTGAGATGATTTAGGCTTAGTCCAAGTGGGCCAAACTCACCCATACACTTCATGACATCCTAACATTCTAAGAGTTTATTCTCCTCAGTTTAATTTCAATTCAGTTCAGCTCAATTTAGTTCAGTTCATTTCCTAGTTTACTTCCTTCATAAACAGCTCAGTTCAGCTCAGTAAATCAGAATAGGGCTAAATCCCCCCCAAAAAAGTTTTTATCTAATGTGATCTCCCCCCCACTCCCTAATTAGGGTGTTGATACTATTAGCAAGGATATGGACATATGGTCAAATGTTATTGGTATGCTTGCTTGTTTTACATAGAAATGTTCATCCTTTTCGAATTAACGAGGATAAATACTAAATTTGAACGGAAGCAAATACCGCCTTTGAATGATTTTTTATAAATGGAGTGATAGAGGCTGCATTTGTATTGTGTATGATCAAGATCTTTAAAACAGAAATATATAGTTTAGAGTGGTAAGCTCACAGCTCACAAAAGTGCATGAGCATTGTCCTCCATGACAAGAGTAACAAACATATAGCTATATTGGCTTGTACGTTATATGTATGTCGAATATCACATGTTTAGATCGATCTTTAGGTACGTTGTATTTAGTTCAGACTCTTCCTTACAGACTGTCACTATCATTATATTCGTCCCATGATGTTTAGATTTCCCTCTCTGTGTAGGTACATGCACTGCACTAAGAGCTTCACAGGGGTAATATGAAATGGACTGGTCCACTAATCCAGACCAAAGTTGAGTGAGAAGAAGGCAAGAAGCCATGCTTGTCTTTTTGTAAAGAATGCAGTAGACGAGAACAAATTTTTCTCCATTGAATTTGGTCAATTTCCGGGAGCTTGTATCTGAACGAACTTATCTATGTATTAATTATATATGCTACATATGGATGTAGTAATAAGAGTTGGATGTGTCGATCCTACTATGAGGCCGGGTTGAGGAGGTTTAAGTTAATCTTGGTAATATATTGTAACTAGTGTGATATCGTGGTGTAATTTTGTGCTATTATTAGACTTGAATGTTGGAGAGGTGTTTTAGAAGTTTTTGTGGAGATACATCACTAATTTTGATGATTGATCCATAGTTTGATATTGCTAGTCATTGGTAATTTGAAGGTTAATTTGTGCAATCGCAGTTCAAAACTAAAAATTAGAATTGCGGGCAATAATTTTACAACAGGCTACGATGTTGAAGTTGCAATAGGTATGATGTTTCTAGACCAGCAGCATGCTGTGTATGGACCTGGACAATGATAGCACGAAATTGAAGAATTTTTTTTAATCCCCCTACTTCCCCTTGCAAATGGTTGAATTGGCAAGATCAATAAGCTAGTTCCACAAAGTTTCATAGTTTTTCTTATTCAAAAAAAAGAAACAGGCAAGAAAGTTTAAGCTTGCCAATGTATACACAATACATAAGCCAATGCATAACTGCATTTCAATTTCACCCACAATATCAGAAAGAGAAAAAGTATGCTTGAATCAGATTCCTACACTTCATTACTGAGTATTAAGATGTTCTTTTCCATCATCACAATTGAAAAACGGCTTGAGACATTGTATCAAATTTCTAGAAACCTAATATCATAACTGAAGTTCTGCTTCAATTTATAGTAATTTCACACCGGCTTCTCTCATATTATCAACCACTGCTTTGATCTTACCATGATACTTCTGTTCTCTCTTCAAGAAGATTGAAACAGCAGGAATGTTCTTAACAAGCAAGCGCTCACCAAGAATCTTCCCAATTTTAGCAGCAGCTGCCACATCTCGTGTGATTCCCATGGTTGGTCTCAAGGCCTTTTCCTGTGAGCTTGCAGAAGCAGCTACGGTGGCTGTTGGAGAGTGGATGACTTGAGCATGAACAAATTTGTTTGTGAAGTGCATTTTTAGCACATATGGCTTCAGAAATTCTGTGATTCTTGGAGCTCTGACTGGTGGTGGGATCACCATCTTGTCCTGCAATGAATTTTGCTACCCATTAATCATTATGAATTTTACATTCAATAAATTTTTTTGAGGTTCAAAAAAGGATATGACATCCAACGAAGATGAGAAATTTCTCTCTGAATCAACACTCGAACAGCTAAGAGTGACAGAGAAACAAATTGAAGAACTCTCAACCTCATCAAGCCTCGACTTTCAACATCACAGATTCACAGTGCACTAACTACTAATCACCTAAAAGAATAAACCTGATGTTGCAATTTCAGATCAAGACACAAAAGAAATTTCATGGCAGACATATACACTATTGGTATATCCAAACCAAAAAAAACATACTTCAGATTTTATCTGATATCCATAAATTGCAAAATACACTATTGGTATATGATCCAGATTTTTATCAGTTTTCACATCAACTAACCAAATTTTGAAGATTGGTTGTAGCGATTATTGTGGGGGTCATACAGGAAATAACAAAGCATCGAACCCCTCCAAATTACAGTAATATTCCCATAAATACCATGGATGACCACTCTAAATAAACAATCATAGCTCAAATTCTGATTCTTTCTAAGTAAACCATCAATTTACTTTGAGCCTAAATCAACAGGTTTGTATAATAATATTTCAACAATAACCTCAAAAACCTCTCAAGTAAAAGTATATACATGAAATCAACCCATATTCAAACAACCAAAACCCTAAGAACCCAGAACAGCAATTGTCCAGCCAAATCAGTTAACAAAAAACATATTGATCAATATGTTCTTTTCTGTTGCATCAAAGAGCAAACTTATACTACCATACTACCAATACAAGTTACAGTAGCCTAAGGGGTAATACCAAATTACCAATACAATTTTGGTGCAACTCGACTCGACTCAAAACAACATCAAACATTCAAGTACTTCCTAATGTAATTAAATAAAATTCAAGTACTTCCTAGTAACAAATTACTATACATTACCAGCTTTGACACTGCACTTGCCCAAACTAACTAATCAAATTTGCAATTTATTGCAAAATTTCATACAACAATTACAGTTTATGCTAAAATAATCAAGTCGAGCACATCAATTACCAACACATGAAGAACACCTTGAATTAACATAGTACACAAACAAATTGTTGACGTATCACATCACAGTAAAGCTAGAAATTGCATTTCTTCATCATTTATATCGGTAAATTCCTTCCCCAAAATTACTAAATTTCTATACGAAATAATAATGAAGTTAACAATTGAACAAAATTGATATGAAATTAATAGCGATTGCAGCTTAAGAAAGTAGGAAGAGAGAGAAAATGAATACCAGAAGATAAAGATGAGCAGCAGAAAGGCGATTGCGACGGCGAGGGAAACCGGCGGCAGGGCGGAGAAAAGGGTGAGTGGTGAAACTGCGAGAGAGAAACCGGGTGGGTTATAAGGCTAACTGGGCCTATCTTTGTTTTGGGCTTCGACTGAATTTTTATTTTTTGATATTTCAAATGAAAATTTTACCTACACCCCCCTCTCCAAGTGACGTCATTTTGCACATATAATATTTCAAAACTGAACATATTTTATTAATAGTTGTAAATGAACATACAATTATTTATAATTGAACATTTAATTAAGGAACATTATTATAGATAAAAAATGTATAAAATTTATAATTTTGTACTTGTTATTGAAATTTTTTGAAGGTAGCACTCACTCCTTATTGTAATTGTAAGAATCATTTCCATGAAAACTACAACATAGCACACACTCTTATTGAAATTCCTTATTAAATTTGTTAAAATAACTAATTCATGATATAATTGGGTGCTTTAATTAGTAGTATAAAAATGAACTTTTAAGTATATGCACATATTCATTTTAAAATTAATGCATTTACTTGTTGATCATGAATAAGAACGAAAATGAACAATTATCAATACGTAAATTAACATTTATATATATTGAAAATGAACATTTAAAAATACGTAAATTAACATTTATCATCTATTAAAATGTGAATGACGTTATACTAACATATAAATGAACATTTAACAAAATGAAAATGAACATTTATAAAAAAAAATAAAAAATAAAAAATAAAAAAAAAGAAATAATAATAATAATAAAAATAACTGCGAACTATAATCTTTGTTTCTCTTCTCTGAAACAGTTTCCTTCGCTCTGCAACAAAACTGAAGAATGTACGGATATAATTTATTAGTTCTTCAATAAAAATTGCTAAGATTATAGTATAATACTTACATTGATTTACATTACTATATATGTAAATGAACATTATGAATTTCATATATGATCAAAAGATTTCATAGTATGCATAAGTCAGTTTCTCAACTCACATGAATGAATATTTATGCATTTCATAAATGTGCATAACGTATCATAAAAATGAACATTTTTTATTTTGGCATATAAAGTCAAATATAAACTCAAATAGATTCAAATATACAAATGAACATTTATAATTCAGTATATGTTCATATATTACCTCAGAATTGTAGGAATGTTAACATCTATACCATAAGTTTTAATATCTTTTAAAAGTTCTTGATCTACAATAGGAGATTTTTACAATGACTATGTAGTAATATATAAATAAATATTTGTATTAATCATTTATTAACATGTGAATGATTGTATACTAATATATAAATGAACATTTATCAAAATGAAAATGAACATTTATAATTTTTTTTTAAAAAAACCACTACGAACTAATTTAATTAATGCTTACTTTTCTCCAAATTTTTTTTGATGTTCTTCTCCGAAGCTATTTCCTTCATACTGCAATAAAAAAAATGAAATACTTCATACTCAAAATTCAAAATGTACTTGTTCAAATTACTAGTTTTAAAACTAAAAATAGTAAATGTTCCTGTAACATAATTGCAACAATAAATTATAAAAATTAGGGTTTATACTCTTTTTCGAATTAAATATGAACAAAATCACTTACTCCTGTGAATTTCGACCTTGATTTGTTGAAGTATGTAGTAGTTGAACAACTTTTTTGGATAATTTGTCGCAAAGTTTGTTGAAAATTTTGGATTAGAAAATGCTGAAAATGGGTGTAGAGAGAGAAAATGCAGAAAATGGGTGAGAGAGAAAGTGAAAAAAGATAAATGGTGGTTTGATTTTTACTGTACAATTGCAGAAAGTGGGTATATGAGGGAGATTGTTAAACACATCGTTTAGAGGGGGGGTGTAGGGTGTGGTACCTACACTAGGGTCTAGTGTATACCAATTATATTTCAAAACAATTTTATTTTATTTTATTTTTTGTAAGGGATATGTCAAAACAATTCATTGTAACCCGTAATCTTTGTGCGGAGGGCTTGCTTCCTATCGATTAATATGAACCGAAGGTAGTATAAAACTAACTTTTATAACACTGATCGATTAACTCTTATAACATTGATGAAGTAACTTTAGTAACACTGATCGAGTAACTCCTGTAACACTAATGAAATAACCCCAATGATAATTGGTCCCATTGTGTGACCAGTCACGTATAAGAATTTGTACTCGTTCATTAGTTTTGTTCATATATGAAAAGATTTAAATTAGTCTTTTTACATTGTTATTCTTAAGGAAATTTTCATACTTCCCTGTTTTTCTTTATATTATGTCTCATTTTGTAATTTGTAGAGGTAATAATTTAGTCCATGAATATTCATCAATCATCAACTTAATTCATAACAAGCAAACTAATACTTGTTCATTGTATTAAAATTAAATTTTATAAATTGAAGCTTTGATTCAACCCGTAAATAAAAGTTGTTATATGCTCGTGATTATGTGAATCAAATAGCCATTTTTTAATCAAAGAGACCTTTCTTTGGAGTGTCAAAAAATGCAAAATGAATTAAAATGCTCACACAAATAAAAACATAAAAGTCAAACAACACTTGAACCAAATATGAGAAATCAAATCTACCTAGGGACAAGGGACTAAACTTGCCTAGCCTAAAAGAAGCACAATTTCTTGGACATCAATAATAGCACCTCCTCCTCCTACATCATCATCATAATCTTTGCTTTCACACGCAACATTCCGGCCCCTTTCAAGATCAAATTCCATGCATCATTATCCACCTCCCCTCGTAACATTGCTACAAGATATTAATGGCTTTTTATTCATTAATATCAAATATTGCATAAAACATTTGTTAAGCCTAAAAAAGTAATAATACTTTCTTCATTCTCTAATAGTTATGACAGTTGTAGCTTTTGTTTATCTTAATATTTAACTTTCTTTATTGTTTTTAATTCACACATTTAAACATATATGAAATATTACAATTTTAAATAGATTAATTAAAAAAAAAAAGTAAATTTACATGATAATGCGAAGCAACTATCAAGGTGAATGAAATAAATAACATGTTATGTGAGCATGTAACTATTAAATGTTATTTTCATTCGAATTAATAAATAATCATGATCGACAACACCAAACATATAGAGTATGTATTATGAAGTAGTTTTTCTTCTACTATGTATAGTGCACATTCACAACCTACTTGAGAAAATTTTGAACAATAGGTGAGTGTTAGAAAGAAGTGAATTAAGTAAGAAAATTGAGTAAATAATTGATAAATCTTTGAGTAGAAGTAGAAGAAATGAAATAAGGTAATACATGAATTTGTCCAATGAACAAAATAATGAATCAAAACTATTTCTTTACCCATGAACAAAGTAATACTTCCACCACCTAGTCCACCTTAATAACTAGATTGTGAAAGCAATCCCATCGTCCTTTTAACTCATTTTTGTGAATTGTGAATTTGGGATGGCTAGTTGGTTACAATAATTTAGCTTTCTCAATCTTCTTCAACTTGTAATATTGATAAAATAGTTTTACCTCATATGATGCACCATTTAAATTTTATAATAAAAATGATCACATGAGTCATTGAATTAAACAAAGTCTAAATATGCTGATTGATGAAGATACTCCACAACTTCACGTACATCAATACATGTGCCATTAACACAAAGAAATATGTCAAATAAAAGAGTGTATACATAGAGATTCACCTTCGAACCTAATTTAACCCAAAGTCCCAAATCATTTCGGAGAGATGAGAGCACTTCACATGTCATTTATAAAACTAACCCACGTACGAGTATATAAAATAATACAGGACTTCGTAAAACTCTATAACCCTTTTAATATGGAGACAAAAGTAATTTCAACTTACCTATGCATTACATACATCCTATAGTTTTTACATTCACATAGTTCCATCTCCGTTGTAACTCCTTTGTAAATCATTATACAAACAAGTAAACAACTTAAACATTTTATGCATTACATTAGTGTTTAAAATTAAACCTTTCACAAATTTGTGTAACCATAATAAAGCCTTCCATTTAGATTTGTTCATCTAAACTTCTAAAGCGTAAATGTACATAGTATTTTTTAAACACTGTGTATAGCTCAAATGATTAGAGCCTCCTCCCGATTTCTGGTGATTTTTATTTTCTAATAAAAAAAATAATAAATAAATAAATAAAAATAAAAATAAAAAATAAAAAAAACCTAGTAGCAGGGTAGAAGTAGAACCGTTAAAGATGAATAAGAAAAGGGTAGGGTGTAGAGTAGGCACAATGCACACGTACGAAGCTGACAAAAAAAGGAGTCAAATCTAGCGGTGACTAGAGTCACGCGGAGTGCAAGCAAAGCTTAAAAATGTGATAATTTTGGGACATTTGAATTGACACTCACACTCCTTGTCTAACCCAATCTATCTTTTGCATCTAAAGTTGAAGTTTATGAGTGTTTACCACGCTATTTATGTAACACACTCAAATATCATATCCTCTATAGTAGTCATGCAAACCTAAGTTACATCATTAACCCAACCCTTTTTTTTTTTTTTTTTTTTGGAAAGACATTAACCCAACTTTTAAATTCATACAAACCAACTTTTATATTTTAAATCCATGCAAACCAATTTTTTTACTCCTTGGTTACTAAGTAAGTAACCCGTAAATACGAGTAACAAACAATATCGTTGTAACTCATTCTGTTTCTAAGTAAAAATTTCATTTAATTCAAAGATAATCTTATGCATATTCTTTATACAAAGTATATATATTCATTGTTAATCAATTGAACTCTAATAAAAGTTTTATTTTAGGTACATATACAAAAGTTAAATGAGACTGTTATATCAAAATCAAATCGAGAGCTTTATTTTGGATGCAAAATCAAATAGAAAACTTATAATTACTCCATATTACATATAATTTTTCTTTACTTGCTCGTTAATTATTTTTTATTTTCCATTCACATTTATTTGCTCCTTTTTCTTTTTAAATTTATTCTATTCTTTCTTTTCTCTAGAGTTAGGTCTCACAAGCAATTGCCCACTCTTAGCTTTCTTTTATGTACTCTTTATTTGTATTCACCTATATAAAACTATGCAAAGACAAGTAAATACTCCCTTCGTTCCATAATATAGT